TCCTCGTGTCATTTTAAGTTCATGATCTTCACAGATTTTACATTTTATTTTTCTGAGTTGTCATTTGACAATTTTGTAATAGATGTTGGAGTAGAAGCTTCACCCTCCATTTAGTGTCTCAGTAATAAAAATGGCCTCTATTACTAAAACCCCAAGACATCCTCCCTTATTTTCCAACACCAACATTAAAGAGAAGACTTCGTTTGGGTGTGAAGAAACAGTTCGGTGACTGTTTTTGGACTATTTTTTCATTTACAGAAAAATGTCATGCATAAAATAAGCCTCAATTGCACACTGTTATTGCGTATATTAAAACCTCAGTTAAACTCCCTTTCCACACAATCAAAAATCAATCAATCTCAGTCAAAAACTCGTCTGTGCTTATCAGAACACACATTTAGAAGTTTTTTCCATGAAAATAAATCCTCATTGCCTGAAAGTGGCTTCAATGTAACTCTACACTGTTGCTTCCTTTACAGTGTGTAGATCTACAAAGCCCCCGCCTGTCCACCACACCCCTCTCTGCCAATTGCTGCAGCTCAGCACACCAGCTCACCCTCAGCTCTGCTCAAACACTGTAAAACTAGTCAGTGTTACAAATGGCAGTTTGTAATGTTCGAGTAATTGAGCCATACGTAATTGAAACAGGTTCTGACAAAGAATAATACAGAAAGCCCCGCCCCTGCAAGCTGATTGGTTGTTCAAGTTTGTTACGTCTGAAAGCCCACAAGTCTAAGACTGTCATTCGTACACTGCAGCTTCATGGTGGAAATCCTCAGCCATGGTGTTCACTGCTTATTTCACTCATGATATGTCGTCTAGCTTATAAACAGCACCATGCAGCCATGTTAACATGACAACTGATTTTTAGTGGAGGGTTTCTTTAATCAGACGTCTAATTAGATATCACAGTCAGAATAGCATTAACTGGTGGATTATTGCCACCATCAACCCAAAGCTAATGGAGCTTTGTCAAGGTTTTTTTTTCTTGGAGCAAAGTAAAAAAGAGAGACTCCCGAAAATATGTATTTTTTTATACTTCGTGATATTAAAACCTTTTACACTTATTACCATGCTATAGATAAACACATGCACACACTGTTATGTGGATTTACTTGTTGTTCCCACAAGATGGCCAAGTTCCCATAATGTGACTGTTCAAACAGATTTAGGTTCCCATAACTCAAGTAATGTTTACGACAGAACACTCTTTTCTAAAACATTCTCACAATGTTCCATGGCAACAAAGGAAGAACATTCTCAAACAACATTCAAAAAATGGCATCAAGGTTTTCAATGGCAGGATGTTTTTTTTTTGTTTTTTTTTTTAACACAGAACATTTATAAGGTTCCTTTAATGGTATAAATTAAAGGTGGAACATTTAACCATTTTTTTTTCATAGAACACATTATAAAACGTTCTTCAATAAAACATTTCCACAATGATAACAAAGAAATTATATTCTCACTGCAACATTCAGAAAACATTTTCAAGATGTTATCAAGGCCTCAGATGACAAAATGTTCTTCGTAAGATGTTCTTGTAACGTGATATATTAGAGGTAGAACATTTAGCTTCGTTGTTGGGGAAACATATTATAGGATCTATAAAATGTTCTCACCATGTTCCACAGTGTTAGAGGATAACAAAGTGCAACATTTGAGCTCATTGGAGCATAACGGTCTAAACATTGTTATCGGCAGAAATGTTTAAAACTTTTTAGAACAAATTTTTAGTTATCCTATCTTAAAGACACACATTCTAAGAACTAAAAAAAAACTTCCCGCTAAAAAATGAGTGAAACTTTGCGGAACTTTCTCAAGAACAAAAAAAACCTAGCTAGGTGAGTACTGTGATCACAGACATTGAGATATATATAATTTTAACACACAATTAGACCCTGAAACAACTACAGAAACAGGCTCAGGTGGGTTTACCTTCCCACTTATCTCCATCTGCTGTCTGTGTGGGGACTCAGGTTTCTCATTTGCCCTCCTCTGAGCCCCCACAGCTAACTGCACAAGGCTGAACATGCCCCAGTCACACGCCCTCCTTCTTTCTCTGCCGCTGGGAGCCACAGCGACACACGGCTTCCCACACTTCTGTATGCAGCCTGCTCGGCCGCACACACAATAGAAGTGTGTCTGCCCTAACAAAGCCCGAGGTCTCGTTCTCAGGCAGGGAGAGGACAGAAGGCCACTTCACAGATAAACCATCTGGTTTGGCTGCAACTCACTGTTGACACACACACAGGAAGAAAATATGACTTTAAAACTTTATTACTGCTGCTTTTGACTCAAGTTTTTATTTGCTGAAAGAAGAGGACAGTGACAACAAGGGTGCAAAGTGGGAATAGCAGGTTTATATTGTTTAAGGCAGCATTTATTTTTTGGAGTTAGTGTGTGGTTTCTTTTTTCTTTTCTTTTTTTTTTTTTTTTGGTGGAAGTCTTGCTTAACATAACACAAAACAGTATTTGATTTTTGCAGTCATGCATCATTTTTGTATAATTTTTAGTTTCATATTAGTGTCATTAAAGTGTCTGTAGTATGTTCCCTCATGATCACCGTCCAAGTCTTGGCATCACAGCACGAAACTGAATTTTCCCGTGTCCACTTGAGGAAAAACATTTTCCCACTGACCCCACTGATGTGTGGCATACAGATAAAGCATCCCACCTGTTCTCCTTGACAGCCATTAAATTCACTCCATTGTCCTGCGCTCCGAGGCTTTTGATTGGCCCAGCAGCAGCGAGAGCGCAGGATGAGCAGCATAAATGCGGAGCAGAGACGCAGACGCAAACAGAGACCTCCTCTGAACCTCAGCAAGCAACGCCAGACCCTCCCACCAGAACAAACAAACCTCGACATGGCTCTCTACGCAGACCTCGCTCTTCAGGACACCGTGAAGGAGCAACTCTTTCGGTGAGCGACACTTCTATTGCTTCTTTCTGACTGTGACCTGAAAAATGTAGAAGTGCTTCTCTCTAACCTGATGACCATGTTAATCAAAGTTGTGCCTCTGTTTCCCTCAGGTGTAAACTTCACATGTTGGAGAGGAAGTGCAGCACTGGAGTGGAGAAGCTGAAGGCTCTGATTGGGGAACACCTGCAAAATGGCATCCCTGTTTCAGACATCCTGGAGAAAACAAAATCTCTGCTCACTTTGAGAAAAGCCCTGCTCTCACACAACGGCTACTCCAAATATTCAAGGGACATTTTGCGTCTGTTTCCTGACGCAGAGGAAGATGTGGCTCCACTGTGCTTCTGAAAACAAAAGGACTGAAGTTGCTGGAGTTTTATGATCTACCAGTGAACTTCCAGTTTTAGTGATGCCATCTGCGCCTGGGTTTCGAAAATCTACTGCCTGTACAGAAGTGCATTACTTGCATAGTGACAAGGAGATCTCCAGAGACCAACAAGGCTGATTTTAAACATTTTATAGAAGATGTCTTTCTAAGAGTTGTAAACGAAAACCAGTTCCGTCTCATCTGATGTGGTTTCATTGTAGCTTTAACAGCGAAGTGAAGAAGATAACTGGGTTTACAGGGAAAAGTGAAGAGGCGACCGATGGCGCAGAAGACTGTAGCTAAATTATGGTATGCTGCTATTTGTGGGATTTATGATTCTAGTGATTGTAATTTTTGTTTCAACAAGACCACAGAAGATAAATTCTGTCTCTTAACTATGCAACGATTTGTTGTTGACGTTTAGATATTTCAGAATGTTTGAATGGATTTTATTTCACCAACAGACTGTTGACTGTTTAACTTGACTAAAATTGACCATTTTAAGCCAAACAGCAATGCTAACCTGTTAAAATACTGAATAGGCTAACATTGTGTGATTACACTTTGCATATGTATGTTACTGCCTTGTTTCAAGGCATAGTGTATATTATCCTTAAATGCCAACCTTTCTTCTGAAAAGGGATTCATTATTGTTTTGTTCATGCTGTGTATGCATATTTTGTTTTATTCATCACTTTTATTTTTATTCATCCAAAGTGGATTTAAATTTGTTTTTGTGTTGTTACATATTTTGAGAAAATAAATATCTGAAGATGAAAATCTTGTGATATTGACTTTATTTGAATTCATTTGAGAGAATTAAGACCTTAAAATTTTAATTATTAAATTATTCACCAGCACAGACAGGTTCTTAAAGGAAAATCAACCTTCTTAGGAGTTTTATTCTAATTCGCCTTTTTCAGTTTCAATACAATACATTTTAAACACCACAAAGAGAAACATCACCTGCTCAGATTGTCTATTAATTGCCACCACTACACTGTACAAGTGACAAATTAAAGGAAAATACTTAATGAAAGCGTGGAGCAGCATCACAACTTCAGACACCTAAAGGGCTACTTGAACAGTTTAATGCGTGTGGTCTGATGCATGTGAAATGATGCAAATTGTAAATTAAATGTTCATTTATTTGAACTACTATGAGGTGTTTTAGTAATGCATCAAGCAGTGCTGTCCATCCACGTTATCCAAACACTAAATGAAAAAGAATGGTATTTATCCCACCAGCACAGGTACAGAGACACAGAGAATCTCCACTGCAGCTGTTGTGGAGGCTGGTGGAGGCTCAGCACCTAACTGAGACACTATATGCTGATTTTCCTGTTTATTTGTCGTCCATTTTAAGGCAACTCTACATTTTGCATTAATGATAGACAATGTAGATGTGGTGTCAGCCATAAACTCAAAGCTGAAGGGTTGAACAAACAGCTCTCTGACTGTGATAAGCACTTTCTGATCAAGTAAGGAGTAGTAAGTTTTCCCTGTTATTTGTCTCAGCATATTGGAACTGAATGCTGTTGCAAATATTAGCTGTCATCATAAAATGTATTTTGAAATATTCAGTTGTGTTTTATATTAATATATATTTCTGTGTGTGGCTGATAAAAATGAGATACAAAAATTGTTGTTTTTCTGATTGTTTTATTGCGCATCACTTGGCTTGAAGAGATACATTCATTTTTTTGAGACACAATCCAAATAACAAGTCCTTCACTGAAGGTATGGGTGCTGTCACTCACAGAGTTATAAAGCAGCACATTTGTCTGGTCCTTCATCTGCTAAAAATGCAGACAGGTAAGCTGTTTAAAGACGTTTCAATCAATAGGATATGTGGACATCACATATAAATCATGTTCAACATGAATAACACAGCATGTGTCTCCGACATGGAGAATAATGTACATGCATCATTGTCAGTGTTACCAACAATATACAGAGATTCACAGAGAATAATAATGTCTACTTCACAGAGTAACACCTGAATCAGTCATATGGGACTGTTTTCGAAATACAAAACATCAGACAACCTGCTGTATGCAAATATCTCAGAAACACATGATCAGACCTTTACGAAAGGCGTTATAAATGAAAACATGCTCTAATGCAGGCAATGAATCTTCATGATAAGATAACCACAAGAATGAGGATAAGTACAGGAGCTTCACTTATGAGCATCACTTTTAAACAAGTCCTGAGGTGTCTACCACGGCCTCCAGAGGTCGCCGCTGGCTGGACTCTTGTCTTTGCTGATGCTGCTCTGGACTGTGGAGCTGAGAGGAGAGAAGTCAGCCTCTGTCAGGTTGTTGTCAGAGGAAGGCTGCAGCTTGTTGAAGTGGTTCAACAGTCTTCTCTGGGACTGTGTCTTCATCTCCTCCTTGGACAGGAAGTTCACCACCTCTTGGACACAGCTGGAGTAGCCCTGATCCACAGCTGTTGTGTTCACAGCTTGATGCCGCTGCTGCAGTCGTCTCAGGAAGCAAACTGTCATCTCCAGGATGTCTGCTTTCTCCAGCTTGGAGTCTGGCTGCTGTTTGAGGAACTCTGGACCCAGGAGAGACTTGAGCTGCTCAATGCTGCTGTTGATTCGTTCTCTGCGTAGCTTCTCCACCAGAGGCTTTCTGAGCTGCAGAGAGAAGAACNAGGATCCTCTTGTCAATTTTCATAGCAACTCATGCACTGTGAAACAAAAGTTGTCTTTGTCCTGAGTGAAAGAGCTCCATTAAAATTCTCCATCAAGTCAGAAAACAAACTTTGTTCCTCTAACACAACCAGATTTTACCCTGATGAAGAATTGCTTTTTGTGTAAACTTTGGTCTCAGTTTAGTTGGCTTAAGTTGATTCCTTCATCACTTGCTTCAGTCTTTCATTGAAATTGTGATGGCCAGCAAATTCTAGTCTTACTACAGTTGATTTAGGTTTGATAATTCATTCAGTCATCTAAAGCATTTACTTGAATGTGTTTGACAAAAGTGGTTTCTTTACTTGACTTAGATTTGTTAAAGTATTCAGTTTATTGGGTATTTCCATCACAAGAAAACTCACCTGACCCATTATATTGAGTTTGTCTTAGATCTTATAATTTTGTACATTTATTAAAATCCATTTTCAGGATACACCTCTAAATCTATTTACACTGAATATTTTACATAATTCTACATTACATAAATAAAACTTCATTAAAAAAATGTTATCTAAGAAGATGTATATAAATTAAGTGTCACAGTAACTAATCATTTTATACATCTAGCTAGTTTAAAAAAATAGAAATATGAAAATCACTAAAAAATATAAATTGCTCTGTCTTATCTTCAACGAATTAATCATAAATTCTTGTTCTGAAATTTAGTATTGCATGCTTCTGAAATGTTTTCAGTTGTTCAAAAGATGTGGACATTTGAAAACATTCACTCTATTCTGATCAAATGCGAAAAAAAAAGAATAATTGTCTGTTGTATTGACTGATGTACTTGCATGAGATGAGCCATTCAGAGTTCACCATTACACTGTTGTCCAAAGGAATCAGTTACTTTAACCATGCACAAGTGACTAACACAGGCCTCCACAAATGTTCTTAAGGAGTTTTCCAATGACTTCAAAGGTTCGGAAAAATTCCTTGGATAGTCTTTCTTGAAGGCAGAAATCAAGATTATTACCTAAGCAATGGTGCTTTGGAAGCCCATCTAAAATTATCTGCAATCTACAGTCTGCTCATTTTGTAATGTCTAAAAGGGATTTGCAAAGATTATACGAAACCGACAGCAAAGTAGGAACTTGAAAAGCATAAAATCCAAAAAGATTTCCCCTCT